ATATATATATATTTATAAATATATATAAAATATATATAAATATATATATAAAATATATATAAATATATATAAAATATATATAAAATATATATAAAATATAAATATATACCTATATATTTATATATCGAAGAACAAAAAGTCTCGTATTATTGATATTTAAATGCCAATTATTTGTATTTTTTTGTATTTTGTTTTATATATAATTTTTTTATATATTAATATATATTTTTTTATATATAATTCTTTTATGTATAAAAACAAAATACGTTTCGAAAGTGAGATTTTATAAATCCAACATAAATTTAATTTAAAAATATATATAAAATTTACAATATAAAATCGAAGAATAAAAAGTCTCATATGTATAGTATACATATACATACATATATTTAAATGCCAAATATCGTTCGTCGATATCACTCATGGCTGTTTCCATTGCAGGTTTCACGGCGGAGTCGGAGGTATCGACATTCTTTTATCATGAGAGTACGGCTATACCGTTCTTACTCAATTCGACGCAATCTCGCGTCGTGTATATCCGATCAGCAGGAAAGAAGAGATAAACCGTAAAAGTGCGTATGACGTGATGTAATCATTAAGCGAGGTCGTAGATAACGGCGCGCATGAAAGATCTTAGAATGAAAACGGATGCCAGCGATCCTTGGCGCGGGACACGTGCGGAATCGGCCGACGACAACGACGACGACGGCACGCCGAACGATCGTTTCGAGGATTCCTTTTTGGACGAGGAACGTCCGAGTCACCGGCGTTTGTCCGACTCGGAGCAGTATCTACAAAAGCTATGTAAGATGCCGTTGCTGGTTTCACGCTTATCCGCATTTTTTCTCCCCTCTCTTTGTTCCTTTTTTTTTTGTCTTTTCGATAATTTCGAAAATTCCTCTCGCAACGACTGTACAGACTCCAGGTTGAAAGTGCTCCAGGGTGGTACCACGAAGAAGGACCTCGTGACGTCACTGTCAGTGGCAAAGGAAGATTGCATCGCGCGTCTGATCACCTCCGGGAGCGATCCCCAGTCCGTGGAGGAGGCCGAGCTGGCGTCGAATCCTCTGATACGGCACGTAGCCCCTCATCTGCAGGTGGGCACTTAAATGATAATGAAACTATATCTATTATTGTTATATTGTTTGCAACTAAATCTTTCTAAACAACACGCGACAAAAATCCTTAGAACATATGTTCTATTATATTTAACAAAGTGAGCGAGAAAAATAACTAGAGAATATTAGGTAGAATGTAGGATTATAAAAATATGAGAATAATGGTATCTTATCGGAACAATTGTACATTATATAGTGTACAATTGTTCCGACAAGATATCATTATTCTCATATTTTTATAATTTTTTGTACATTATATAATGTGCAATTGTTCCGACAAGATACCATTATTCTCGTATTTTTATAATTTTACATTTTAATATACATATTCTATATTCATTATATAATGTACAATTGTTCCAAAAAGATACCATTATCCTCATATTTTTATAATCTTACATTCTAATATTCTCTAGTTATTTTTCTCGCTCGCTTTGTTTATATATAATTGAACATATGTTCTATTATATATGTTCTAAGGATTTTTGTTGTTTAGAAAGATTTAGTTGCAAACGATATAGTATGTGAAACAATTGTACATTATGTAATGTACAATTGTTCCGACAAGATACTATTATTCTCATATTTTTATAATTTTTTGTACATTATGTAATGTACAATTGTTCCGACAAGATACCATTATCCTCATATTTTTATAATCTTACATTTTAATATTCTCTAGTTATTTTTCTCACTCGCTTTGTTTATATATAATTGAATATATGTTCTGTGTTGTTTAGAAAGATTTAGTTGCAAACGATATAATATGTGAAACAATTGTACATTATGTAATGTACAATTGTTCCGACAAGATATCATTATTCTCATATTTTTTAAATTTTACATTCTAATATACATATTCTATATAGTGTTTTATATATATGAGTGAGTTTTATATATATTATATAATGTACAATTGTTCCGACAAGATACCATTATTCTCGTATTTTTATAATTTTACATTTTAATATACATATTCTGTATACATTATATAATGTACAATTGTTCCAACAAGATACCATTATCCTCATATTTTTATAATTTTACATTCTACTATTCTCTAGTTATTTTTCTCGCTTGCTTTGTTTATATATAATTGAACATATGTTCTATTATATATGTCTAAGGATTTTTGTCGCGTGTTGTTTAGAAAGATTTAGTTGCAAACGATATAATATGTGAAACAATTGTACATTATATAATGTACAGTTGTTCCGACAAGATACATTATTCTCATATTTTTTTAATCTTACATTCTAATATATATATTCAATATAGTGTTCTGTATGTATGAGTGAGTTCTATATATATTATATAATGTACAAT